TCTACCACAATTTTCAACCACGTTAGCTGAAATTTCACATTTGGGGTTCCTGCTAGCCATGTTCTCTTCTTGCAAAAAATGTCCGATCCAGGTCCACTAATAGGTATAACCCCTTCCGATTTTTGGTATTTTGAAGGTTTCTGCCGCAATTTCCAAACAAATCAGTTGAAACTTTACATTTGGTGTTCTCGGCAGGTTTGTTCTCTACATACCATTAATTGATATAGCCCCCATATAACGGTACCTCCCGATTTTCGTTATTCTGATAGTTTCTGCCACAACTTCTAATCAAATTAGATGATAGTATTTTTATTAAAATCATTATTTCATTTATTTTAGCTCGAACCGACCGATTTCAGATACATTTTTCAACGCCATTATTCCCAATTTGTATTTAGAATATACAATAGAACTTCTCTGGCAGAAATTTTCAGGCCCACGTCTTTGTATAGTGCCATATAGTCCCCAATTTCGGCATTTTAATGATTTTTAGAAGCATGTTTTTTAAGAATTTTTTACATTTTACACGTTCCTTCCAAATGGTGAAGGATTTTTTACTTATTATGTATTTCATTGTTTTTAGGCTATTCTAAAACTCTTAAAAGAACATTCCCAAATGTTGCAACTTAAATTATGGTGCTTAAAATCCTTCAAATATGTCGACACTGTAGAAATAGCGAGTTGAAATCCATTCAGTTGAACTTTATCGTTAGGACCTTCTACATACCCAAAAAAAATAATGGAACATTGAATCATTTTTGCACGGATGATTTCTACTCATAAGGATTTCCAAAAATATGTAAAAGTGGGACCAGGACCTTTAAAAACACCGATGCCAATATTAATGCAGGAACCTTCAGAACAAAGAAAATCAGAAGTTAAAAGTAGAGGGAGGGAGGTTTATGGTATGACAATACTAGAAAAACTTTCTAAGTTCTTAATTCGAAGTTTAACATATCCATCTATCGTTTTGAGATTCATTTTTCACTTTTGATTGCAACCGACAAATATTGCTCAAATTTGCCATTTATTTCGAAACACACACACAGACACAAAAACAAAAAAGTTTATTTGTGGTTACATTTCGCATCATTAACGTGTACTTTGTACCGGGTCACTTATGTGTGTTCACCTTGATTGCCGTCACCACGCACACACGTATACTTCTCTTAGACTCGAACACACACATCCTGATTATGACTTACAACATAAACGATTTGCGCGAATATTAAATTGGCACACGTTTTCAAGATAAAGTGGTTTAACTCCATTTGCCTGCTCTCCACAAGCCCACACACACACACACGACCTGATGTTTTCAACGAAAATTTGTAAGTATTTGCATTCAATTATTGCTCAACATTTTATCCTTAATGGCACTCCAATTATTTGCATCACACATACGGCTGCAAACAAGAAAAAGAACAAGCGAATATCCCATTTACGTCTGACTGTCTGTCTGTCTGTCTGTCTGACAATCATCAGGACTACTACTTCAAACGTAACGGCTGCTACCTCAGCTTCCCCGTTTCTTTTCCTCTTTTTTTTTTGGTTTTTACACAACCTCAATTTATTTCGACTTTCACAACAAATGCACTTTTAATAAGGTTTCCTTTTTTGCCGCTTGCCTCAATATTCCGTTCCGTTTTCTTTTATTTTTATTTGGCTATTTCTTCTTATTTTTCTTGTTGTTTAAATTCTATTTACCAACTATTGATAATCCTTTTTTCATGATATCCTGTTCTTTGGCACAACACTGACACTGAACTAAACAGAAAACACACAAACAAACAAACTTTGCTGCTGATGTTTTTATTTATCCTTTAAATGGAAAGGCTTCTTGAAATTGACAATTTATTCGGTGTTTTATCCGTTCGCGTTACCGTTCCGTTCGAAAGTTTACATTTAACTGATTTTAAAATATAATTTGGAATTGAAGTACCACCACCTTGCTTAACATACTTCAGCAGCAAAGGATTCTATACTACACACACTTTGTCAAATAAGGACTTGTCGTTCGCTGTGTGAACACCAACTGTGAAAGAAGCGACAGCAGCAGCAACTACAACAACAATGGGAGCGCGTTTCCATACCATTGTGTGCTGCAGTGTTGCCGGTAGGGTTGGGTTTTTTTCTACCAATTTTTAAGCTAAAAATGACCCCAAGACAACAAAGCTTTTACACCCGGAAAAAGTGGCTACCCAGCAAACATTTTGTAGTCGTAAGTGTCAATTTCAGCATTACTATTAATGACAAGGAGGTATTCTATTAATAGACGACCTTTAAGAGGGATTCTATCAATGGAAGTCTTCTAAGAGGTATTCTGGCTTTAAAAGACCTACAGCAGGTCTTCTGTCTATAGAAGACTTCTAGGAGGTCTTCTGTGTATAGAAGACCTTTAAAAAGTATTCTGTCTACAAAAGACCCCGGTAGGTATTCTGTCTATAGAAGACCTTTAGTAGGTTTTTATTTGCCTATATAGGACCTGTAGCAGGTAATCTGCCTCTAGTTGAAAGTATTCTGCCTATGAAAGACCACTAAGAGGTATTCTGTCTAAAAAAGACCTCTAGGAGGTCTTCTGTTTAAAGAAGATCTGTCTAAAGAAGTCCTTTAGGAGATCTTTAATCTATGGAAGTTCTCCAGAAGATATATTGTATATATTGTCTGTGGAAGACATTCTAGAAGGTATTCTTTTCTAGACCTAATAAAGGTCTCCTGTCACGAGAAGTCTTCTAGGAGGTTTTCCGTCTATAGAAGACCTATAGGATGTCTTCCGTCCATAGAAGACCTCTAGGAGGTCCTATGTCTACAGAATGTTCCGTCTATAGCATAGGTCTTCTGTCTAAAGAAGACCTCTAGAAGGTATTCCGTCCATAGAAGACCGTTAGGAGGTCCTATGTCTACAGAATGTTCCGTCTATAGCATAGGTCTTCTGTCTAAAGAAGACCTCTAGGAGGTATTCTGTCTATAGAAGACATATAGGAACTGTTCTGTCTATAGAAGGCCTCGAGGAAGTCCTATAAGACCTCCTCTTGTAGCTATCTTGCCTATGGAAGATCTCTAGAATATATACTGTCTATAGAAGACTTCTAGGAGATCTTCTGTCTAAAGAAGAAATGTAGGAAGTTTTATGTATACAGAAGACCTTCTGCCTATAGAAGACCTCTAGGAGGTTTTATGTCTACAGAAGACCTATTGAAGGTCTTATGTCTACAGATGACCTCTTGGAGGTCTTATGTCTGCAGAAGACCTCTTGGAGGTTTTATGTCACAGAAGACCTGTAGGAGATCTTCTGTCTAAAAAAAGACCTATTACTGTGTTTGCTTTCCATGCTACTACAACTTCCGGCTACAATAAAATTATCGACCACTTTTCGAAAGAAATCTCAAAGTGGCAACGATGACATCGAAATGTAAAACACATGATTTTTCTGATCGAACTCATACATAACGTTTGCTTTTGTTTTTATTCCGATTATCCTTCATACTGCATACGACAAAACACAACATGTTGCAAGCACGTGCTATTTGTTGTAAGTATTAAAATAGAATGGGCGGCGGCAACATAAATGTATCAATGAATTTCAATTTTGCGCCCAAAATATTATTTCGCATATTCTCTTTACCCTCCCCTCCTTAGAGAACACACGAACTTTTCCGAACAACTTAAATGGAAATGAAGTGAAAATATTTGTATTGTTTTGTTTTGATTGTCATTTTCCTTATCCCTGCTGTTGGGTGGAAGCAAAGAGGATATGGTTGGGGAATGTGATTTCATCTGTGTATGTCTGTGGGTATGAGTATTGAGTATTATTGTCAGATGTTTGGTCACACGTTTATTTCGTTCTTAGTAAATATTGAGGCAGGTCGTGACTTCTTATTCGTCTCATGTATACCCTATTCGTAGACACAGATTTCACACACACCGACACATAAACACTATGTTTCATTTACAGTTGCCAAAAGGTAATTAAAATCTTCAGAAGTTTATTTTTTTTAACCGCATTTCTAAGTTTTTTCCTTGTGTCCTCTACACTTTTTATACCCTACGCCACACAGTGGGGCAGGGCAGGGTATTGTATCTTTTTTATATTCGTTTCTAACGTGCAGAGGGAGACGAAATAGACCCATAATTCCTTTTGACGATCGTCATAGTATCACATTCTGAGTCGATTAATGCATGTCCCTCCGCCTGTCCAGTATTTTTGTAAACAAAGTACGGGTCGCATTCATTGTCTAATTGAGCTGAAATTTTCCACAAATCATTTGTTTGGCCCAAGGATGAACTTTATTGAAATTGGCGACAATCGGATCAGTTTTGGATATAGCTCAAACATATAGTGTTGTCTGATTTTCTAAATATTGTCAACCAAATGCATAATATTAGTTCGAAGCGAATCCATTTTAGCACACACAGCCAGGTTCAGTTCAGAAGCATGTCTGGCAATATTGGTGAATATCGGTTCAGATTTAGATATAGCTCCCATATGTATTTTCTTCTGATTTCAATTTTTTTGTGCACCACACGTTTAATAGGCGTCCAAATGAACATGAATGAATTTGGGCACTTCCGAGCAAGTTCAGCAATAAAGGTAGTACTTCAAATTTGGTTAAATTGGGTTCAGATATAGCTATAGCTTCCATATATATGTTTCATCCGATTCGGTGTTAAAGTCCTCCAACCAGATACCATATTAATACTCCAGAATAATTCTGCCTAATTTCATCGAGATCGGTTTAGATTTCATATATATCTTTATCCGATTTGTGCACCAAATATGTAATATCAATCCAAAATGGCTGGAGTTTTAGAGTTCAATATTTAAGGAGTTATGGCCATTTTAAAATATGTTATATGAAAAACATTGGATTTCTCTCCATTAATCGTGGCTGAATTAGGCGCTTTTCATATTCTTCACCCAAGACTTCGGAAAAGGTTTTCGTGCTAAAAGCATTAACAATTATATATAGCTTTGTCTTTGTCATATATGTCTTAATTACTCACCCTTCTAAATAAACCCGAGCACGAAATGCGGCCACATGCGCCAGATAAACTGGAGCCGGATAGGAAACAGATCGGTTGCAACGTGGGAATAAATGACACAAATTATAGGTTAATTGTTGCAAGAGATCAATATCGAAGTTCGATTCATTTAAAATAACATTATAGCGAGTTGGTTTGGCGGTGCTTTGAATCGATTGGTGACTAACCATAAAAAATTGAACTTCTCTAGGGTGTGTTATCATCTGGTCGACAACAGTACCAGGTTCAACATTATTTAAGTCGCGTTCATCGCGCTGTTGCTTCATTGGGAAGAATCGAGTGTGATGCCGCTTAACTGCGATGATGCAGGTCAATTTTGTATCACATCCCTGCAGGAATATATGGAAATATTTTTATCAATCACTTCTAAAGATGGGACAAAAGTTAATTACCTTTTTTCGACAAGCCCTCTGTATTGCACTCAATTCAACCCTCTGTATAATGGGAAATTGACCATCCGAGACGCCATCTCTATAGTAGATAATATGAGTAGGATACGTTTTCATAAACTGGAAATAGAACTCCAAATGCCGATTCGTGATCGACTCCATATCTTCAATGTCTTCCTTAGTAGATTGTTGCAATCTGTATTGCATGTTATAGCATGCTCCAATTCGATCGTGTGAAGCCGTAACTCCCACTACGCTAGGAATGTGGGGCTGATCGGGAGAGGGATGCGTCACATCAGCACCCATGAACATCACATTTTTAATGGGAGCCATTAACTCTTTCATGTCATCAGCATTGTTCAGTAATATCTTGTGGTTGGTTCCGTTAAGCTTTCCGTTTACCCCCAAAAGGAGGTTCGAGATAATTGCTGGAGATTGCGCAATTTTTTTAACAGTTTTGTCTTGTATGCACTGCGTTAAAACTCCTACTTTTAAATCAGCAACCTGCTTAATATGGTAATAAGCGGTTCTGCCTAAGACAACAAAGACTAAAGCATAGTCACTCTTAGCCAGATTCAGAAGAGTGCTATAAATATCCGTATATTTCATAATTTCAGCCGCATTTTCAAGATGCATGTTTAAATCCTTTGCCTTTTTTAAGACCTGAAAGAAAAACAAAAGAAAAACACCTCCCATAGTAGCTTACTTTACCTGCTGTGCTTGTATTACTTACAGATTTCTTAAAATTATCCAGATGTATGTATTCAATTCCTGATTGATATATTATTGCCCATTTGTGTCCAACCTGCTTGCCTGCTTGCGGTTTAGTACAAATCAAGAATTGTTGCTTGTCCATCATCCAACCACCGCGTTTTACATTAACAGTTTGACCGTTCAAATATTCGATAATCGGGCTTGGTAAAACTCGAATTGGCACTTTAATAAAATTCAAATCAATTTTAATACCAAATGATTGGACGATTTTGCTGGCATTAAGATTGAAATGCTGCAGCATATCCATGATTTTTCTCTTGCGAACATTAGTAGAAGTTGCAGCAAAACGTATCATGTTCCGTACTTGTGTTGATTCGTCTTTACGCTAAACAACATTACGTTTCAGAACCACCAGGCGCTACTCTCAGTTAACTTTGTTATACTTACGTTCAAGACCTGGCCCCCTGCAATCTTACATAGTTCCATTGGCAAATATATCGAATGAGCCGTCGAACCGACTTCAACACAACTTAAATTCGGATACTTAAGTGAGTATCCCCGAGATTTAAAGTATTCAGCAACCGTCATTTGTAGACCATCACCATTTAAGAAATGTAGCTGGGAAGCAGAATTCCCTATTTTCAATACTTTGTATTTCCTGGCAAAACTTTTAAATGATTCTGGTGGTTGATACACAATATTAATGCCTCTAAGATAACTCTGTACTTGTTTGTTCTCCCTTAAATCTCGGTCTAATCCGATTTTCTGATTTTTCAAGTAATCGATCAGGCTAGACTCACTAGGAAATGATTTGTGGGTGATGTCGACATTTAGGAAGGGCTGATCGCCTAAAATTACAGCCTCAAACAAACCAGTCCAAGCTTCGTAACCATCCCCTAAATCGTGTGGTTTTATGGGTTTGCAAAAAAATGCTCGACCGACGCGTAGGCCCTTTTCGTGATTACTTTCAGACAAAATAACATACAATGCTTGCAAGGCCCTCATTGGTTTGTCGGACACTGAATCATTGTGGTATCTGCAAAACAAGAAGAGAAGGAAACATGATTGTATCGCGTATTTACCTTAATAGTTTGCAGAGAAGACATTTTTCTATGTAATGCAATATTCTATTGAAATTAATAATAATAATAACATAATAATAATAATAATAATAATAATAATAATAATAATAATAATAATAATAATAATAATAATAATAATAATAATAATAATAATAATAATAATAATAATAATAATAATAATAATAATAATAATAATAATAATAATAATCATAATAATAATAATAATAATAATAATAATAATAATAATAATAATAATAATATAATAATAATAATAATAATAATATAATAATAATAATAATAATAATAATAATAATAATAATAATAATAATAATAATAATAATATAATAATAATATAATAATAATAATAATAATAATAATAATAATAATAATAATAATAATAATAATAATAATAATAATAATAATAATAATAATAATAATAATAATAATAATAATAATAATAATAATAATAATAATAATAATAATAATAATAATATAATAATAATAATAATAATAATAATAATAATAATAATAATAATAATAATAATAATAATAATAATAATAATAATACTAATAATAATAATAATATAATAATAATAATAATAATAATAATAATAATAATAATAATAATAATAATAATAATAATAATAATAATAATAATAATAATAATAATAATAATAATAATAATAATAATAGTAATAATAATAATAATAATAATAAGAATAAGAATAATAAGAATAATAATAATAATAAAGTTTACAAAAATACATGGACAGACAGATGGGCGGATATGTTTTTATCGTTTCCTTTTACCTGTAACAAGCAAATGCACAAAGACATAATACCCGACCACCTAGAGGTGTAGGGAATAATAAGGGTTATAAGGATATCAACATGAAATTTAGACGAAGTATATTAAACTTCATATAGAGTACATAGAGGGTCAGATGAAAAAACTGCAACCAACTTCAGACTGCTATCATTTCTAAGCCACTCGTTTGATAGCTGGTGAGCATTTTCCAGAAAAATGTTATTCGTAATGGAATTCAAGCGTGGCAGTGTGGTTTTATTTTTTGCGTGGTAGTGTGATTTACATTTGGCAGGAAAACCACAATTGGCTATGGTTAGAGCACTCCAGCACTGAAATATGAATAAATCTTTTGTGTCTTGTACCATCGGTCGTTACCGTGATACTGGTAGCGTGGCCCGACGTCAAGGAAGTGGAGGGAAGAAAACAGCAACATCAGCAGAAATGGTACGAAAAGTAAAGAAGCGAATTGATCTCAGTGGCCGAAAAATGGCTCGTGAGCTGAACATATCGTAATATTCCATTCGTCAAATATTGAAAAATGAGCTCGGGGTAAAGGCATTGAAATTCCAAAAAGTTCAAGAACTTACACCGCAACAGAAAGAAAATAGACTCAAAAGAGCTAAGGAGTTGATTCGCTTGGTCGAAAGTGGTGAACCGCCGAATTTGGTTTTCTCCGGTGAGAAAAAATTCGTTTACTTGCCAAAGAGGTCAGCTGGAAATGTGAACTTTGGACACCAAAATCTCCGGATACCAATTCGTTGGACTATTGTGTCTGGACTGTTTTGGAAAGCAATGTTGGCACTATAAAACACCAGAGTGTCGATCACCTCAGCAACATTCGGGCAGTGTGTGACGGTTTCATTGGCCGTTTGAAGGTCATAATTCGTGCCAAAGGTGTCCAATTCGAACAAATCTAAACTTTGATGCTATTTCCAACATGCTTTCATTCAATAAAATTTAAAAAAAAAGTAAAAATTATGGCGTTTGACTCTGTTGCAGTTTTTTTATCTCACCCTGCATCTCATATCGATCTTGCTTTCAATGGGTTATTAAGTCAAATAGAGAGAAACATATTTTTAAAATATTATAAATACTTTTGTGTAACTAGTTGAGCGAAATCTAAGAAGAGTTTCTGTCAACTTACGTCCGAAGTGAATTTAGATCCACCTCGCAATCCAGGGTTTCCTTTATCTCCACTTGGAATTCTATGGTGCGGCTGTTTGAGTCTGAAACCTTTAAAAAGAAATTGGTATTTTTGTAACCTCATTATGAAAACCATGAAATTGCATACCTTAACTGTGCCGTTGATTGGACTAGAAAGACGTTTTGGTGTATAGCAACTCTTTTTTCCGTCAAAAGCGGCCTCAATATCATGGAAATATTTTTGTTTACACTTCTGAAAAGCAAGTCTTACAAATTGTTTTGAACGGACAGGAGTTATTGTAATGTCGTAGTGATAGACCTTGTTGGGCATACTATCAAGTAACAATTTCAAATAGTTAACTTCTACAGTACCTGGTGTACCACGTGTGCCACGAACAATGCCAGTACAGGATGTCTGTCCACCTGCAACGAATAATTCAGAAAAATTAGATCTTATATTAAATGCGGCTTTAATCCTATAACAATTTCGAAGTGTTTATGAATTACTGGAGTTTGGGTTATTTAGAATTTTGATGTCTCAGAGATCCATAGTTGAATTTCATGACAAATAGTAAATTCTCGCTTAAAGAGATTTTTTGTCATATTTTGAAAACATAACCAATAGGATCTCTTTGGGATCCTCGATAGAGGTTTAAATTTTTCGAAAAAAAAAAAATCTTCGTATTGCTATAAGTACCCACAAAGGGTCAAAATTTTGAATAATGATAACTCTTATAAAATGCGATGCAAGAGCCCGATTGTCACATCATCAACACATCACAATATTTTTATTAACCCAAAGTCTGGTGTGAAGATGGAATATATCTGTCCACTCCTTCTGGTGCCTCCCCCACAAAGGGACAACGTTTCGAATAACGATTATTAAATACGAAATAATTATCCGACTCTCTTCATATTTCACACATCCCATTATTTCTACTAACACAAGATTTGCTGTGAAGATTGGATAAAGTGGTCCACTCCTTCAAGTACCTCCCCCACAAAAGGTAAAAATTTGGAATATCTATGGAGCTTCTAAAACGCGAAATTAACATCCGATTCCATTCAGACTTGGCACATCTCAATACTTCTATCAACACAAGATCTTTTATGATGATGGTTGGGATCGGACCTATTCCTTCTGGTACCTCCCCCACAAAAGGTCAAAATTTTGAATAATTATAACTTTTATAAAATGTGATGTAAGAGTCTGATTGTCTTCAAATTACAGATATTACAATTTTTTTTATTAACCCTAGGTCTGGTGCGAAGATGGAATATATCGGTCCACTCCTTCTGGTACCTCACCAGTTTTCAATACTTTCATCTGCCAAAAATCGCGCAAAAAAAATCAGCGATTCTTCACAACTTGCTATATATAAATATTTATCTCTAGCCAAAACCTGAGATGAATATGAAATTTATGATTTCGTATAAAATTGGTTAAAAATGTTCGATTTCCTTGTAATTTTTCCCAAGCCAATATTTGTATCAGTGTTAGATGAGGCTTGAAAATGGAACACATTTGTCGAATATACCTGCATTTTAACATTTTCTAAAAATTATCACATATCTGATATAAAGTGTAGGAAGTAGTCGATATAGTCCAAACCTGACATGTCTCAATATTTATATCATCATATTTATTTAGGTTCGATACGAAATGGATAATATTGGCCCATTCCTTCGGAACCTAGGGTCAATCATAACAGAAGTCAAAATACAGGGTGAGATGAAAATACTCCTACCAACTTAAGACTGCTGTCATCTGTAAGCCACTCGTCCGACAGCTGTTAAAATTGTTGTCTATTTTCGCAGCTAATCGTGTGTTAGTAGCAACATTGGAAATTGCTGAGTTTGAAAGTGATATAATGCTCATTTCCCGTTATATGAGCTTCATTGTAATTCTGAATTTATCCACTTTGTGGGATGGGTACCAGAAGGTGTGAGATGATATTAACTTACTTCACACCAGATCTTATTTTGGTAAAAATATTGTGATTGTGCATTTTTTAGATTTATATTCAAAATTTTGACCGTTTTTGATATTGCCCGCACCTCTCCTAGCACTGATAAAAATATTAAAATTTGCAAAGTTTGAACAAAATCAGATCATCCTTTCTTTTTTTTCATAAAGTAAATTTTTATACTAGATGGAATGGACCGATATAGCTCTCATCTTCAAACTCGACCTAAGTTTGATTATAGTATTAAGATGTATCAAACAGATACCCCCTTCAAAAGTTATGGTGCGCACCAGTCAGACGGACGGACAACAATAAATCGGCTCTACATGTCCTGAAACGGATATGGTCTAAAGATGAGGCACGTTTTGGCCGTATCAAAACGTATCCATGTGTATGCATATGGCTGAGGGTAAAAAAACGATAACAACTCCTTACGAATACTCACTGTTCTTTTTTCCCATGACTGCTGAAACCCCCACTTGTCCTTTTTGCTGCTTCATCTGCCTTCCTTGCTGTGAGCGCTGCACACTGATATTTTTGACATTTTGATCTGCTAAATTTATTAAAACTACAGCCTTCTGTAATCTAGAATTCTACCATTTTATTGACCTACCTTTTTCTCCTTGTTGTTGTGCCTGTCCCCTTTGTAGTTGTGCTGGATTTCGTTGTTGCTTTGGCTGTCCACCTTGTTGTTTATTTTCTGTACCCTGCTGGTTGTCTTTTCTTCTTTGTTCTTGGAAAGGTGCACGTTGACATAGATCCGATCCACTTTCCCGTTGACCATCTCGACCTTTATTTTAACACCAATGGAACCGAAATTTCCAGCGCACTCAAAAAATAAAGTTACAAAACAAAACACCTACCTGTTTTGGAATCCTCGCAGACTGTAGCTGGTGTAGGTTGATCTTGTTCCGGCTTTTTTCCTTCTGGCTTATACTCAACAAGAGAAAGACAAATAAAGAATTTCACAATTAAATGCAATTACCAACAGACAAACTAAATACCAACAAGACTGTTTCACAACACCCCCTTGCAGATACTCACTATTCTTTTTTCCCATGGCTGCTGATCGACTTTTTATTCCTGAAAATCTTTATATTTTTGCAAAAAACAAAAATTGTAATTGTTTTGAATTTTTTTTAGTTTTCAAATTAGAACGTTAACCAAGTAATATAATTTGTTGTGTGTTTGTTGGTGCGTTAAGTTCGTGTATTTATATTCTGTTGTTCAGGGTTGCCATGCCTTCTTTTTATTTATCCGTAAATTAGGGACATTATTGAGACAAATGTAGTTGAGAATACCAGGGTTTAAAATGCTAATGCCAATTTAGCTATTGCACGGAGAATTTTCATTCTTGCGGGCTAAAAATTTCTCAAAATATGTTGTCTATCTATGAGTTGCGTCAACAAATAGAAACGGATTACAAAAAAAAAAAAAATAAATAAATAACAAAGACAGATATTGCCATGGTACAATGATATCAAGGTAGGGCTATGATACATATGATTTCAATTTTTTTTATTTTCTTGGCTTAATATGTCATCTTTATTGTTTATGTATGTGTTTTCTTTTCAATAACAAAAAAATTGTTCAGAAAACATTCAAATTCGGATGTTTTCAAAATGTTTATTTCATCGTATGCATCGACAAAATCTAGAGTTTTTGTAGCGAAATAATCCTTTAGAGATATATAGAACCTTGTTTTGAAAAGAAGTGTTGAGCTTTCATTCAGTTTTCGCGGTTTTCAATTATTTATTCAAAATAAATGCAACAAGTTGTTTGATTTTTATTGTTTTGATACTAATTCTGACATTACAAGCCAAACAGGTAGAACTCTATACTTGCAATTTTTTCAAAGTTGACCTACCTTCTCTTCATTGTACCATGGATATTGCTATTTGAAATCGCCAACCAACACAAAATAGCAGTGAGCAGCTGCGACAAAATTGAAATCAAAATAGTAGCACGGCAGCTACAAGGTTTTCAGAAAAAAAAACACATATATATTTTTTTTGAGTTCAGTGTAGCTTGAAAAAAAGTTCACACTGTATGGAATGCGATAAAAATCGAATTTTTATCCATTTGGTATTGTCATACTAAAGGATATAGGTAAATGCATCAACGCTTGGAAACATTGGCATGTCAAAATTTTTGAAATGTATTTTCTAAAAAATTAGTTAATTTTATATGTTTTCTTATACGTCACCAATCAGACGCTGTTATCATATGCAATTTTCAAATTTAAATACATTTTGATGAACATTTTCAATTTTAAAATTGGTTTGACATCCCAACAGCTGTGCCGATGCGACTACCTGTATTCTTCTACCATGTCAATAACATTTGCACATTGTCTACAGCATGGCAGAAAAATACAGGTAGATGCATCAACGCTTGGGAGCATTGATATGTCAAAAAACTTTAAATGTTTTTTTTAAATATAAGTAGATTTTTATATGTTTTCTTATACGACGCCATTCGGAGGTTATTATAATTCGTGTTTTTCAACAATGTTTATAAATTTAAATAATTTTTCATCCAACATTTTCAATTCCAAAATTGGTTTGACAGTTCATTGTCTCAGCAGCTGTGTCGACGCGTCTACCTATATTCTTCTACCATGGTCTACAGCAAATGTTATTGACATGGTAGAAGAATACAGGTAGTCGCATCGACACAGCTGCTGTGATGTCAAACCAATTTTAAAATTGAAAATTTTCATCAAAATGTATTTAAATTTGAAAAATACATATCATAACAGCCTCTGATTGGTGACGTATAAGAAAACATATAAAATTAACTCATTTTTTAGAAAATACATTTCAAAAATTCTGACATGCCAATGTTTCCAAGCGTTGATGCATTTACCTATATCCTTCTACCATGGTTATTGAAGCCTATCAATTTAAATTTATTTTATTTTTGTGAGATATTATTCAATACATTTAAAAAAAATTTTTTGGTTAGTTACAATTCAAAAATAAACGTAGATTAGCTGACGAGCTTGAAAACATATGTAAGTGTTTTATTATAAGCGTACGAAAGCATATTTGGGAGAATTTTCCAAAAAAAAAACAAATTTCGTGATGGAATTCAAGCATTATAGTGTGATTTCTTTATATTTCTTTACATAAACCAAATGTGGCTATCGTTAGAGCCATGGTACAATGATATCAAGGTAGGGCTATGATACCATATGATTTTAATTTTTTTATTTTCTTGGCTTAATATGTCATCTTTATTTGTTTATGTATGTGTTTTCTTTTCAATAACAAAAAAAATTGTTCAGAAAACATTCAAATTCGGATGTTTTCAAAATGTTTATTTCATCGTATGCATCGACAAAATCTAGAGTTTTTGCAGCGAAATAATCCTTTAGAGATATATAGAACCTGATTTTGAAAAGAAGTGTTGACCTTTCATTCAGTTTTCGCGGTTTTCAATTATTTATTCAAAATAAATGCAACAAGTTGTTTGATTTTTTATTGTTTTGATACTAATTCTGACATTACAAGCCAAACAGGTAGACCTCTATACTTGCAATTTTTTCAAAGTTGACCTACCTTCTCTTCATTGTACCATGGTTAGAGCACTCCAGCATTTAAATGTGAATAAATCTTTTGTGTCTCGTATCATCGCTCGTTATCGTGATACTGGTAGAGAAGCCCGAAGTCAAGGAAATGAACGGAAGAAAACAGCACATCAGCGGAAATGGTTCGAAGTGTACTTACGCCTTAAGGCTTTTTTGATACAACTTTTTAGGCTACTTTTAGCATTCTCTCATCAGCTGAGCGGTCTTTATATTCTTCTAAGATTAACCCACTGACTGGCTATAAATCTGGTTGAATAAATCTTGGTATATAATAAATAATAGTTTTAGGGCATGGTAGAAGAATATAGGTAGACGCGTCGACACAGCTGCTGGGACAATGAACTGTCAAACCAATTTTGGAATTGAAAATGTTGAATGAAGTCATGGCTAGGCATAATAATGTAAAATTGTAATGGAAAACGACGGCAGGATTTAATCCCTTTATGAAATGTTACAAAATATGCCTAGCCATGACTTCAAGCTTCTTATGTACCTAGACCCTTAGCGCTAAAACAGTGTTTTTTTTACGTTTCACGCAGCCAAAAATGCAAACAGCGTTGTATTTTCTCGCCGAAGTCACATTTAAAGCTTTGATCTGTTATAGCCTTAAGTTGAGAATATAATAAACGCTTTTTTGACTGGCTTAAGTCATCGGTGTTTTCTTCCATGGTAGAAGAATAAAAAATTTTCAATATGTTTTGTCTAAAATATGTAGATTTTTTTTTTGCTATGTATTTTTCAACATTTTCAATTCCAAAATCGGGTTGACAGTTATTTGTCCTAGCAGCTGTGTCGATGCGACTATCGGTATTCTTCTACCATGACTTCTTCTTGCTCTTTTCCGAAGAAGGCAGCCGAAGTAATTTACCTTGTCAAATGTCACTGCACAGAAAGCAGGTTCCCATCTCTGATTTGTTTAAATTAACAAATGGATTTATAAATAAACATTTTGACAATGAGATGTTGTCAAATGAATAATTTTGAAAGAATTGTAAACATATGATTGTATGACTTTACCTTCTTAATTCTGCCATATTGCTGACCATCTGCAGGGAAAATAATGTATTTTCCAATTTATTATTCATGGTACAATGAAATAAAGGAAACCTCATTTCAAATTAGCATTCCCAGCTCTACCTTTTCTGTAATTTACCTCGTCGAATTTCAATGAATAAAAAACAGTTCCCTTCTCTGATTTTGTCTGTATACCATGGTACAATGAAATAAAGGTAGCCTCATTTCAGCATTCCCAGCTCTGCATTTTCTGTAATTCACCTTGTCAAATTGCAATGCATAAAAAACAATTCCCATCTCTGAGTTTGTGTGTATACAATGGATGTATGAATATGGATTTTGACAATGAAATGTTGTCAAATGTATAAATTTGAAAAAATTGTAAACATATGACTACCTTTTTGGTTCTACCATGCTGTATACTATGGATTTTTAAATATAGATTTTGATTTCGTCAAATGTATAAATTTGAAACAATTGTAAACATATAATTACATGACATTACCTTCTTACGTTTTTTTTTTTTTGCAATTGTTCCAACGGAGAATTGGTGTGCAATTTTTTTTAATAATTGTTTGCAAGAACATATGGATTGACGTTGGCATTTGATGTATGTATTTTTTTTTTTTTTTTTTGAATGGAGTTGGCAACCCTTTCCGCATTCAATTGGGGGAATTTGTTTCAAATACTATGTGATTCCCCTAGTTCTAGAACAGTGTATTAATAACAACCTCTTATCTAATCAGTATTGATTTGTTAAATGTTTTGTTCGTGTGACTCATTCATATATATCATAAGAAATGACAAAATGAGTTCCGAGAATCAGTAATAAAAAAAAACAATTTATAAAAGACTATAGTCGGATGGGTCGGGAATGTTATACCATAAACAGAAATAGATCATTTCCATGTACACTAAATCAATAGCCTAAGGACTTATTAGCTATAGCTAATTATATTAATTTTTAGACGCTTATTTATAAATATAATTGTAAATAAATGAATAAAATAATGAAAATCATATAAAATTGACGGTTGTACTGTACAAAATGCTATGTCATGATAAGGTGACATAATGTTTTTTCAAACTACCAGCGCTATCTTTACAATATAACAAGAGCGAAATGTC